GTGTGGTTCTGCTACAGAGTGAGGACCACTTGCAAAATAGTTACTATCAAAGTGAGGTCTTTGATGTAAAGTGAGGCCATCTTCCCGGTATATGGTGTGAATTAAGTTTTGGTTCAGGTTAGGGATTTAGGAATAGACTAGTAATGGTAGTTTTAAGGAAAATGTCTGAGTTAGGCATAAATACATTTACAAAAATAAACTGAGTTCAATACATTGTCCTCAGTTTGATGCAAGTACAAGGATGTGTGTGTGTGGGGTGGGGGGGGGGCACATTTTTGTTACATCATGGGAACCATTTTCCACAATAAAACAAGCCCCATGGGGACCAATGCCCGGTCCCCACGAGTACAGATGCTAATTTTGGGTGAGGGGTTTGGTTTAGGACTAAGGTGTGATTTGAGTTTAGGTTAGTTTTACTGTCAGGTGACCTGTGAGGTTAATTTTAGAGTAAATGGTCAGGGTTAGGCTATAACATTACCAGAAAATGAATGGAAGTCAATCCACGGTCCCCACGGGGGTATAAAAACAAATGTGTGTGTGTGTGTGGGGGGGGGGGGGTATTCCCTACATTGTGGGACAGATGTTTGGCATACACACCTACTTCTGGGGACCTAATGTTACTTATGGGGACCTGACTGGTACATATGGGGACATGAAACACCGTCGGTGGTTCAGGGGTTGGGTTTAGGACCAAGGTGTGAATTGAGTTTAGGTTAGTTTTAGGGTCAGGTTGGTACCCGTGAGGTTAATTTTAGGGTTGGTGGTCAGGGTTAGGCTGTAGAAAATACTGGAAGTCAATGCCAGGTCCCCATGAAGATAGCTGTACCAAATTGTGTGTGATTCTCGTTCAACCATCACAATTCAGAACCAACAACAATGAGCTTTTCTATCAAATTCTCAACATGGAGCCAAGTAGCCACAGCAGGTAATTTTAGCTGCTGGATGCAATTTAAAATGCATAAATATATATTTTCCCAAAGATTGTTTCTACTTCTTTTCTCAGAAACACGAATAAAAATCTAACATGAGCTCTGCTGTCAGACTAAATCCCAGTAAATCACATTATCTGCAGCGGAAGCAGCCTCCTTTTAGCATATTAGCCCCGGTGGACACTGAGAGATAAAACCGAGGCTTTTCCACGCAATCATTTTATCTTTAATTATGTGTTTTATTAACACCACTTTTTATATGGAAATGTGATTTTATTAAAACCACATACATGTTGTAGGTTTATTTAAAGCCGCCCCGCTTTTAATTTGGCGCTTTTCCTTGCAGAAAATAAAGGCCCGAGTGGCCATTTGAATATCTTTGATGTTCTTTACGGCGCGTCTTCCTGATGCAGATTCACAATCATCCCTCCGCCTGTCTGTCGGCCGTCTGCACGAGCGATAGCACTCTCTTCATTACGCGCTTCATTAATCTCAATGCTAATTGATTCTGCGAGGGCCTTTTTAGACAGGGGGCCAAGTCTCCACTGATTATGTGTGTGTGAGTGTGTGTGTGTGTGTGTGTGTGTGTGTGTGTGTGTG